CCGTCGGCTAACGAAGGGAAGGTGGGAGGAGTCCGGTGACGTTGATGTCCGTGACGGCTAAGCTAGGGAAGGGGGGTGGAGTACGTTGACGTCGATGTCCATGACGGCTAACAAAAGGGAAGGGGGGAGGAGTCCGGTGACGTCGATGCTTGTGACGTCACCGGACTCCCCCCCCTCTTCGTTAGCCGACGGAGCCACTTTGGCCGGTGAGTTTGCCAAGAAACTTGTTCTGCACGAGCGCCAGCCAAGGCATTGGCCTATACACATACAGCACAGCACAGCACTGAAGTAATAAAATGAACTAGGATCACACTAATCCAGCACGTTATTATTCTGAGTTGCCCCACTCAAGCGGCGGCCATATTGAGTGGGGCACGTGAGATTAATAACGTGCTGGATTAGTGTGATCCTAGTTCATTTTATTACTTCATTGCTGTGCTCTATGTGTATAGGCCAATGTAGTTGGATCTGTATGTGCGCTATAATTACTCGAAATTAATCGATTTTAAAAAAATTCGATTAATCGAATGAGAAAATTTTAATCAGTAACAGCCCTAGTTGTTTTCCTTCTTGGAATATAAAGAATTCCAAAATTCAGGACCGCTAAAAAATGTTGGAGAAGGCCACGTACAGAATGAGGCTTAAAGTGGGCAAATTAAATGAAAAAAATTATACAGGACAATCTGCTAATAGCAATAACAAGGCGATTTTTATTTTTGTAACATTTTATTACTTGTTGATCCTGCCAGTGGATCATTTACATTCCTCTTCCCGGAGCTGTCCAGCCAATGTTAGAAGGGTTGGGAGAAATCCCCTAACACTGGCTGGAATGCTAACAGTGCTCAGTGTTTATTCATACTATTTAAACTAGGGATGCACAGATATCAATACTAGTATAGGTATCGATGCCGAGTATTTGGGCGAGTATTCGACCAAATGCTCCAATGCCTAGCCTGATATTTGAGCTTCCGGTATCAGGAAGCCGGGCAGCGAGTCGTTACACGCTGCCCGGCTTCCTGATTGGCCGGGAAAGCCGGCTCCATGCTCCCTCCTCACTTGCGACAAGGGAGCCGGCTTTTGGGCCAATCAGGAAGCCGGGCTGCGTGTAATAAGTCGCCGCCTAGCTTCCCGATTGGTTGGGAAGCCAGTCAATCAGGAAGCTGGACGGCGAGTTATTACCCGCCCCCCAGCTTTCTGATTGGCCAGAAAGCCGACTTCATGCTCCCTTGTCACCTGGTGACGAGGAAGCATGGAGCAGGCTTCCTGGCCAATCAGGAAGCTGGGCGCCGTGTAATGACTCGTTGCCCGGCTTCCTGATTGGTAAGCCTCTCCACCAATCCGAAAGCTAGGCAGGCGAGTCATTACAGAGCGCCCGGCTTTCTGATTGGCCCGAAAGCCGGCTTCATGCTCCCTCGTCACCTGTTGATGAGGGAGCATGTAGACGGCTTCCCTGCTAATCGGGAAGCCGGGTGGCGAGTCATTACACACAGCCCAGCTTTCTGAAAGGGACTTCCGGCATCGGTATTTGGTATCGGAAAAAAATATTGGTACTCGTACTCGATACTGAAAAACCGATATCAGTGCATCCCTAATTTAAACATTTATTTCAAAAAATAAGCTTTTTTTTATTATTTTGCCTACAGTTCTGTTTTAAAGTGACACTAAACTCCGGAGTTAAAATCTTAAAAATACATTCAAGTACCTCAGCTATGAACAACAATGTATCTTTGTGTATCACTCGGCTGTAGATCCTCCAATCATCTCTGAATTGGTGCCGACACTGTCCTTCCTTCTGGAGGGGGGCTACTTGTGTACCCAATGGTCCCTGTGTGTGTGTTGTAAAGTAGTCACCGCTCCAAGCTCGCTCACGGGAAGGACTACAATCTCACGTTTAGTTTACTAATTATGTATTGAAATTGTAGTCCAGAGATGATTGGAGGATCTACAGCCGAGTGATACACAAATAAGATACATTGTTGTTCTCTCCGGGAACAGGGTAGTTTAGGTCAGGGAAGGGGGGCAAAAAGTGTCCTTATCCTGTATATAATAAGGCACCGTGCAGAATCCCACAGTAGCCAATCAGAATTCATCTTTTAGTGACGCAGCTTCAGTTGACAGAAATCTATTTGGTTGTTGTGGATTACTGCACCCTGTGCATCGGTCTACCTGACAGAGATACAAAAAATCAGAATATTCAGTCTTAAAGGAGAACTATGAGGTTAGGGCTTTTCCCCATAGTTCTCCTTAGTTTAACGGGAGGACACAAACTAGCGTCCTCCTGTCACCCTAAGCTCAGTATACCGCAAGCTACAGCTCCTTATATACTGAGACGCCGCAGCTTAAACGGATCCCGACAATTCTGTCTGGATCCACCCAGCTGCGTGAGTGACAGCTGGCTCTGCCTATCTAGAGGTAGAGCCAGCTGTACCCTTCCCCTCCCCCGTCCGTTCCGCCAGTCAGCGCTGGAGGATCGGAGCGGGGAGGGGGGAATCCAGTCCCTCCCCTGTGATGGCTCTCTGCCGTGGCAGGATCGAGAAGTGAGCGAACGCCGATATGTGTTTGCTCACTTCACGATCTACTGAGCCGACCTGTGACAGTCTCATTGTCACAGGTCGGCTAGAACTATGAGTTGAGTGAAAAGCACCCACCTCATAGTTCTCCTTTAAATCAATTTATATTTCTACAGCGTTTTTGCAAGACCGACAGGTGCAGCCCTGACTCCTAGAGGCAGGGTCATGATGGAATTTGTAGGTTTACCACCACTGGAGTGCCAACGCTGCCTTCCCCTGGTCTATACCTAAACATAGAATGTCAATCATTTTTTACGTCTGATTCACAGGCTCATCATCCTAAAATCCTAGCAGCTCATTGCTAGACATCATGTTACGTCTCATCGTGGCACCAACAGCAATTACACGAAAGTGTCGCCGTAAATGTGAATTCTGTACAGTGAACCCCCCTGACATTTCCGAGGCTGACTTCCAAGCTCGGTGTATGCGAGATAACGCGGCGCGGGAGACTCCGGGGAATGGAACCTGGAATTCAAAGCAGGGCCGCTATTTGCATGTGTAACAAGCTCCCTGACAAATGAAGTGCTTTTGCTGAGGTTTGTTCATCATCATGCCGAACAGACGAGCTGCAAAGAGAACATTCCATCACGGCGCCCGTCCCCGTCATTCTGGAGAGGGGCGCGTTTCACGGCAGTGTGGGCTTTCCCGAGGACAGGAAGCGAGTTACTGGCAGGATCACCAGGTACAAATAAAGGAAGAAAAGTCTGAGGCAAGAAAACTAATGCAGCCACCACATCTAAGGATCGGTAAGCTGCAATATGTTACATTTTTGTTCTTGGGGTTAGATACACTTACCATCTGAACATGCTGCATAAGGAAGTAACGTTTTTTTAAAACATCGGACATTACACGGTATCTCATCTTTATTTGACACTCTCTTACCTTTGCAGCGAGTTCAAGCCCAACTTTATCAGCTTCCGTCTCCAAAGTCCGGCTGAACGGTCTATCGAGCATATACTGCAAGAAAAGGACGGCAGATTTTCAGACTCGATCCTGAAGAGGGATATCATTACTGTCCGCGCCCAGCGGGGCACCACAGGCCCTGACCTCCCGGAGGCCGGGCTGTAAGCTGAGGAAATGAATACATCTAATAAGAGGCATATATCAGCTCCCGGCTTTGCTGCAGTCAGGCGGGGGCAAGAAAGTCAATAATCAATTCTGCCGCACAAGTGCTGATTTAATCAGGCTGCCCGCAGTGCAATAGTGTGCACAGTGCAGAGACCCGGGGAAAGCCGGCTTTGGTTTACTATAGTCTAATAAGGGGGA